CCCCAAAACCCCAAAACCCCAAAACCCCAAAACCCCAGATTAAGTTTTATGGGTTGAATTTATTTGCAAATAATAGCTGTATTAGTCAGTTTCATCATGGAAAAATATCCATCCTGGTCTTCCAGTTATATCCCAAATTTTAAAAGTTGTATGAGAGAACCCTAGGTCTCTTTTCAATAGCTTTATCTCATCTTCACTTTCAGGTAAACCTAATTTTGAGGAAAATTCAATCATATTTACAAATTTTGAAATCCCTGATCTATGTATGAACTTAAGAATAGAGATCATCTCAGGTCCAGTAAAAGACATTGGAATATCTTCTTGATTAGTCAAGTTTATCTCAAGATAACCAAATGAAGACCTCCTCTTTAGGTTTGGTACACAAGATTTCACTGGCTTTAAATTGCATGATTCAAATATCAGTTTATTTGCTTGAGTAACATTAGACATAATGCGCGCCAATTGCTTGCCAGAAATTGATAGCTTATTGAAAGATACTGCATTCAAAACTCTTGAAGTAATTCTTACAAAATAATTTATCATCTTATTGCTTAAAACCTGATAAGCTATATCTGTCTGCCCAAAAATCATTCTCTGAGTAATACTGACAGTGTCGAACTCAAAATGCTCTACCTTTGTAATATATCTCCAAAACTCTTTCTTCCTCCTGTTTGGGCCAAATACAAGAATCAGGACATAGTAATAGTCATTTTTGTTCTTTAAACTATTCTTTCTGGGTACTATTTTTGATTGCTTTCTTGAAGCTTTCTCTGCATGTTCTATATAAAAATTAAGTACTCTTAACTAAAATCCTAATTCTCAACTACAGTTAATTCCAAATTCCTTCTCCTCACTCGGATCCCAGATCTTGACTGAGCCCATCAATAAAATTCTGGAAGGTATCGAATTGAAAGAAGACTTACCATAATAAAAAGTAACCTCCTCTTTAAATCCAGAGTCGATGAAGGTGCTGTAAGGCCTTCAATATAGTCTAAAGAAATTCAAATGTCAGCAAAGAGAACGCTCAGAGTTTAGAATATTAGGCTCTAAGGAATTTTCCATATTGGTATCAATATTTTAGACTTTGAATGGGGTTTTGGGGTTTTGGGGTTTTGGGGTTTTGGGG